TTCTACAATTTTAACGCCGATGACGGTGATGCAGACAACGACAGCTACGAAGAGTTTGTCGACTCATTTGGCGAATTGTATGGTGCTGCGCGACAGAGGTACCAAGGCAAATCGAATACTGACAAATTTTACAAAAGGAAGAGCCCCAGCATCACACTGTTTGGTAAGTTGTACGACGAGTGTTTGAATTCGTTCACGACGGACGACATATTGGAGTTTATGGGTGGGCGCTATGGATCGCTCAACAAACTGAAATTGGGCGTATTAAAGTTTTTGGAGAGTTACAAGGATGTCCCAACAATCAAACTGGCACAAATGATCGTCGACGAGTTGATTGAACAGAGAGTGCGGCCACTCCCTCCTATTATTACAAACATATTAGTGGATGGAAGAGGTGACCCATTCTGTTTTGTGCTCGAAGCAATTCGCTTTGCTTTAGTCCCTTTTATTGATGCGGCGAAAGGACTACCAACAAAATACGGAGAGAATTATCCCGACGCTATGAACAACTTGTTCACAGATACAGTTGTGGTGACGGTGGACGCAGCGCGACAACTTTTCAAGAACGACTTGAGAGGTGTCGAAACATACATCCACCAAATACTGAAGAACCAACAAAAAACATCTGGGAAGAACGCACGGTTCAACGAGATGTCTGGTGCATTTGGGTCACACCTTATTCTTGAGAAGTATTGTAAAGCAAGAAACGTGAACTTTGTGCCGAGTCAGGACAATTTAGGTGACTTAATGGAATCCATCCAACCGATGATGAGCGCACTTGGTACAGTCCAAGAAATCGTAAGAGACTTTCCTATTCAAAAAAATACCGACGAAGAGCTTCTTAGTGAGTGTTTTAAACTAGCAAACGAAAATGACATTTTTTACGAGTGTTGTGTTGGTGGGAAGAGTGTGATTGTGTACGAACGTATGGATCTTACTCACTTACTTAATTCATTTGGATTGGAGGGTATCCAAGAACCACCAGAGACTAATCAAAGCGAAGAAAAGAAAGAAGAGCAAAAGGCAGACACAAAGAGCGAAGACAAGGCGAAGGAAGATATCACATACATTTAGTTAATTCTTTTTTGAGTTTTTGGAAACCCTACTTTCTCATCTCATACTCCAAAAAAAATAAACTAGAAAACCAAAACATGTCGAAAGGAATATCCTACGTCGTAGAGAATGAAGATCACACATTGGCGAACCCACTCCGTCACATCATCGCTAATTTACCAGACACAGAGCTCTGCGGGTATTCCATTCCTCATCCAAGTGACACAAAAGTCGTTTTCAGAATCCAAACGAAAGCAGGCTCTACTAAAACACCATACGATTTGCTTGAAGACGGGTGCCAAGACTTGATCGACCAAATGAATGTGCTTGAGGGACTTTACAAGGACGCAATGTGCTAAGCCTATCTTGATTGTTATGTGTCTTTTTGTTTGAAACGTTTCGACTTAAATAACACCAAAACAAATTACTTCGACAATCAATTTGTGAGTTGTTGTGGTTCTGGGGGGATGGGGAAAACACGTCTGTATAACGACATCGTGACGACGTCGTTACTCTTCAGTTGTTTTTCAAAAGTGCATTTAATAAGTCCGTGCTCACCTAATGAACACAAAATTGTCCCAGCTATACCCTGTGCGGTTAAAAGTTCAATTGGTTTGAACCACTTGGCATCTGCTGGAACACTAAACATCCCGCGCACAGTCACTTTGTGTCGTCCAATTTTGATTGGGACGCCAGTCAAGATGGATCGTTCGATGATAACACGAGAAGGGTCGACTGAATCCAAAGTCCCAGTGGCCACAAGTTCCTCTCTCCCATCAAAGGTCGCAAACAAAAGCGCAGAAGAGGGGCGGAATGTGATAAACCCATAGAACGACCCAATCACAGAAGAGCCGGGAACAGCCCATTTCACCTCTCTGTACTTCCCACCCATTGGATCAGTGTCCGTGAATGTAATGTTTCTGAAATACCGTCTGTCTCCTAACTGAATTCTATATGACTTCCCCGACTCAAGTGGAAGAGAGTCGTTTTCCACGTGGAACAAGACGTGAACAATCGACTCTTTGTCTTCATATTGCCGAAGTGAGCAAAAAACTTTGCCAATAAGTGACCCGACCTTCAGATTGCTGATCAAAAGCTCGACATAGGTCCCTTCTTCAACACCATCATCTACATATCTGCTGGAATCACTAATCACTCTGAAATTCTCAAATTGAATGATATCATTGTATGACCCTGGAAGGTCTTCGTCACAGTCCCATTCAGTTTGTCTCAAAGAACGCAACCCTCTGTATCCTTTGAAATGCTCTTTGGCGCTTTCTCCTTTTTTCACTCGGTATTTGTCCGGGTTCTCTTTGTATTTGGCACACCGACGGTTAATACGGTCTTCTTCCGTCTCGTTGGGATCAACATCTTCTTCCGCCTCTTCCTCGTATTCACAGTCCATTGCAGCGTCTACATTGACATCATCATCATCATCATCAGAGTCTTTGACTTCCTCAACCATTTCATGATTCATGTTGTCGTCTCCAACAATCCAAGCTGCTGTATAACTCCCTGCGCCTACTGGGACATTTTTAGTGATTTTAAAGACACCAGTTTGTTCAACGGGTTTTGATGGAGCAGCGTTTTTTTCCTCGTCTTCTTCACTCATAGCTCTGTCGCTTTTCTCTTCATTTTCTTCTTCGTCTTCATCTTCTTGGATGGTATACGCATCAATGTTATCCTCCCCGACTCCATATGGATCTACAGCATTTCCTATTTTTAAGACATCGACATCACCAACACCGATTATATACCCACGGTTTAATCGACTCAAATCACTTCTTCGTACATACCCTTTCACCTTGACATTGTCACCATCTAATTCTTCTTTATCAATAACAAAGTAACCAGGGCCGTCCATCTTCTCTTTTGTAGACATTGTACATAATATTTGAATGAACCGAGGGCCTTCAGTGGCTGGGTCATACACACGATACCCAGACCATCTCCCCTTTTTAAGTTTGGCCTTCTCCCCGACCAACATGACATCTCCGAGTCCTTGCGCAACTAAGTAGTCGAGTTTTTCCTCTTCATCACCACTGACATTATTCCCCATGACAACCACCATGATATCCGCTATTTTCGCAGCATCCATTCTATTCCAAATATCATTTTGTGGCGCCCAAATAGCAAGTCTTCTAAATTGTGTTTTGACATAAGTAATGTCACCAACAACCGCTTCTTCAGTCCAATTTGCACGTAAAGTCTTTAATACAGTTTGAACGTCTGCATCGCCTAACCCTAAAAATCCAATTGTTCGTGGGGCTCCAAGACCTTGTCTTTCTTTTCTTAAAAGATCTTGTTGCCTCTCACGAGAGCCTTTTTGCCTCTGGCGAATCTGAGCTTTCCGCACTTCCTTTGGGTCTTGGAAAACTGGGCGTGTTTTGACTACCTCCGATTTCTTCTTTCCCTTCTTCTTTTGTTGTCGCTTTGACCCGCCACGGCGTTGAAAAGGTTTGTTAGTCTGAGAAAGCTCTCCCGATCTGTGTGTGTTCATTATGCAACAATTAGGGTTTCTTGGTTACTTTTAATTCTTAGAGTAGGTTTAAGTGGAGTCTGAATATATCTTATTTATTTTAGTCCTTATATTTGTACAAAATTAAGTAAGATGTATAAATAGAACATTACACCTAATCAATTATTCAACAAAACAAGCTTGATTGCAGCCTCCAAAGTCGTCTTCGAGTAACTCAACTTGCCTTTAACTATATTATCTGGTATCGTTTGTGTGAACACAATCATCTTTTCTATATCACGTGCATTCAATTTGAGTAAGTAGACAACAACAACACCAATGACGTTGTCCCCATTAATATCAATCACTTGTTGAACCTTTCCAAGAAAATCTGATAAATGGACAAGGAAATCGTATGGATTGTTCTCGTTGAGAGTTGTATTTCTTTCAATCAACTCGTTGAGTTTTTCGTTGTTGAGCAGATCAGATAGTCCACTTAAATTAAGAGAGGAATTGTCACTTTTTAGTTTTGTGATTGTGGCTTTGATGTGGGGATTGTCGTTGGCGTTGTAAAAGTCATTGCCAATTTTGTTAAAGAGCCGCCTAATTACAAAAACGGAAATGATCTCAAAATTCTTTGGAGTCATTTCTATTGCATTGTGTTGAAGAAGCATTTTGACAATTTCGGTTTCTTGACTTTTGAGTTGTTGTTGGAGGCAATCTTTCGTTTCTGCAATTTTGAAATTTTGGACAATTTGAAACGTCATTTCGCCAATTGATGAGTTGAGATTGAAAATCAGCTTGTCAAATTTCTTCTGAAGAACTTCATTTTTCTCGACAAATTGGTAAGAGTCTCGATCAGTCAAAACAACGTTTTGGATAACACTTTTTGTAATTTGGGCAATTTCGTTTTGAGATCATCGAACTGCGTGTCAATTTCTTTTTGAGATCACTTTCGTTGTGTTTGTAATCAGAAAGTTTTTTGTCATCTCTTTTGGAATTGAGAGTGTGAAACGAGGTGACAAGGGGAAAATAAAAAGAAATAATGGTTGAGACAACAGTCCG